TTTTGTTTTCATAGATTATAAAAGGGCAATGTCACAGACAGACACTCATCTGTGTGGCGCCCAGGCTCTGCTGACAGCTCTGATACACACTCAGTGTGGCAGCTTGGGAGCTGAAAGTTTTATCAATAAATATGACTCTAATCACTTCATGTTGACAGTCAAGGTAATGGCGTTTAGCATCTCAGAAATACACACCTCTTCCAGCCACGCTCAGACTTGAGTGTTGAAATCCACACTGTAGGAAGCATCTCATTCTCCCCTCCCAACAGAAATTTCACTGTTATGTACCTGACAATTCTTGATAATGATCCGGTTTTGAGACCATATTTCTTGCTTGCATTTTACCCTCACATGGGGCTGTACACCTTCTGTACAGAGCTCATGGAAGTAAGGGTTGCTATATCCTTGCAAATATGCTTCCCAAAGAGCTCAGACATGGGCACCATCACTGCCTCTCTGGACCCCTAACGGTATATCAATGTTTTAAAACATAAAAAAAAATGAGCAACAGAAATCCAGAGAAACCAATTCTCCACACAAGAAGAGTAGCAGGGGTGGAAATTAAGGGTGCTTTTAAAAGAAATCAATATTAAAATGTTTTTGTGTGAATTAATTTAAAAATAAATGGCTGCTTTCCTGCTGCCCAGACTGCTCTGATGGACCCATTTTTTTTTCACTTCCCTTTCATCCTTCATCTGCATGTCCAGCCTCTACCAAGGAAGGTATTTTATATGGATAGATCCAAGTATTATACGTAACTAATTTAAAAATCCATTATTTTTATTTATTTTAAATATGTATGTGTGTTTCATTTCTCTTACAACTTATATTTCATAGCACATTTGTATATCTAACATCTGATATTTTAAAGGATTTTTTGCAGGGTTTTTTTTTTTTTTAAATAAGACGAAGATAAAGTAGTAGCGATTGAAACCCACATCTGTCTGGTAACTTGGGATTTGTTTTTAGTTTGGGATCTTGGTGGGATAGAACACCTGTGCAATTAATGCTTTCTGAGTAAGAGTTCTGCTGAAGACATTCTAAATGTCAATGACCTGGGTTGAAAATGTCAGTAAATGCAGTAATTTTGTATCTCTTTACTACTAAAATTTTACTGCAAGGTCTTCTGGTGTTGAGTTCCAGCATATTTGGTGTCCACACTCAGCTTGACAATATTTTCAGTGTCTGAAACATGTTGTATTAATCTGACCAGACATGGTCCCTTAACCATGTGGCATACAAAGGCAAAACCCAGGGGAGGTGCTTGCACCCTGGAATTTCAGAATGGTGAGCCAGTTCCCACGTGGCAGCAACTATGGGAGAGAGTTTGGCAGATGACTATTGAGAACCAAGTCTTCCCAACAGCTAAACTAGCCTTTTCTCTTTGGAATCTACTAGCCAAAATTGAAATGATATTAAAATGCAACCAAAGAATTCTCAGAAAAAAAAAGTAAGAAAGGAAAAAGAAAAGAAAAAGTTTAAAGAAACCGACTTATATGTAAAAAGATCAAGAAAGATGAGGTAATTTTTAAAAGCCCCGTGCTTTTGACAATAATTCCTGATCTCTGCAAAATCCATTTTATTCTTATAATGACCTTCTCTTTTCATAAAGAAAATACTTTCCCTCTCTGCTTTACTGACCAAACTGTAATGAGAAAATAAGAAGTTTAATGCCGGTGGGTTATTGTTACTTTTTTTTCCCACCTGAAAAAGCTGGGAAAGAATTGGCTCCAATTAATGCAGAGGCCACTTTATTCCTGTTAAAAATATAACACGGTTAATAAAGTGTTAGCTGGAAATAAAAATGTAAGTACGGTGAATTGCAAATGTAGGCGCAATACAGAGTGGTTACATACACCCATGTCGACTTCTGTAGTGAAGAAAAAATATCTATGATGCTCTCAGTGAATGGAATTATATGAGAATGTACTAGAACGCACTTCAATTTTGGAAGCTTGTGATTTCAGACTTTAATGCCTGCACACAAAACTGACTTTAAAAAGCAAAGGTTGGAAACAGATAAAGCAACATTTTGCCTAAAGTTCATTCATCAAAGGGCCGCATATTTTGAAAAGGGTAAAAGCACTCCTAAACCCATCAGGGATAAGCAAAGGCTATATACTATAGATTATTTTAATCCCCCAGCTAGATATAAAAGGGATAATTACATATTTGTGGTTGAAGCCATGTGGTAGAAAAATCAATACAACTTTTTTGTATGACACTTCATTAGTGTGAAAAATTTTAAAAGCTGAGAAGAAGTGCCTTGCAATTAAATGCCTCTGCTACTTCAGCTCCAGTAATGGGTTTGTATTATTATCTAGTTTATTTGAAATAGTGGCTGCACTATAGAAGTAATTGGAAAACATTGATTATGCGCTTGTATCTGGAAAGCCTGGCAAATCATTACAGGGCCCGGCAACAGTTAGTTAGCCTTACTAATGAAGCACTAATTGCTGTAAGTAGGTTAACATGTTAGTGAAACTAGAGGGGATAATAGTTCAGAAAATTCTGAAGGATTTTGCCAAACATGTATTTCCATTTATTTACCAAAGATAGAAGTCCCGTGGGATTTTTCCTCTCTTCCTTTTTTTGTTCTGTTTGGTTTTGGTCACGACACTCTGTTGGAGAGGAAAAGGCAGCCTGGATGAAGTCTGCGTAACCATTTGGCCTGAAGTGACTTCATTTCCTTCTATACCGTCTGTCTGTTGACCAACCTAGTTTTCACAGATGGGACTGAGCCACCACCAGCATGGTGCCTTGAGCAGGTTTGGGGGTCTTCCAGCTCAGAAACAGTTCCGACACCCCTCTCTTGGGCCAAGGGCTTTGCGCTTTCCTAGTGTACGACCTCCCTGGGGTTACATTGCAACCTCATTGTCCTACATTCATAGCAGCTAGCGGTTTTTAACTTTTATTTTTTTAGTTTAGTTCATGAGATTAGTTCAAGGAACTCAAAGGCCTTGTTAGTTAGAGAATTTTAAAAAAAAATTTCACTGTGAGGTTCTTAGGAAGGAAAAAAAAAAAACCTATCAGTGTTAGAGGAAATATTTCATAAGTACCCCAGGAAACAAAAATAAGGAAGTTTGGTGTCGAATATCAAGCAAACAAACAAACAAACAAACAAACAAAAAACAGGAACACTTGAAATTACCCAATATCCACTGACCGAATGGTAGATAAGTAATTAAGTAATTGTATTATGGTCATATAATGGACTATTATGCAGTAGGGAAAAATGAATGACATAACAGCATAGGTGCACACACACACACACACACACACACACACACACACACACACACACACACACTGAATGAATCTTAGTGTTGGATGAGAAAATCCAATTCCAAAGACTGTGTATGACATGGTAACGTTTTATAGAGCCCCAAACAAAACTGAATAGCCATAGTGATACGTACATATATAGAAGCATTGCTTTAAAGGGATTCATAAAATGTGTCAGTAAAATGTTCAAGACAGTAAATAGGTCCTTCAGAGAAGTGGAATGGAGAACAGAGCCATCTGAGATCTGTTGGTGGGATTGTCAGTGGGTATCTTAATATTGTGATTTGTAATTAAAGTTTATGTTGCAGATGTTCTTTTGTGCACAAGCAAAAAAGTTTAAGTAGAATCACTATTCTCTACTGACCTAAAAGTGACATCATCTTGTCCAGTCAAATTACAAAGTCTTCTAAATCACCAGAGAGAAAAATGCCACTTTAAAATAGTTGTACTTTTTTTTAGTTCATTATCGACAATATTAGAATTTAAAAAAAACTAAAAAGGAAGAAAAATGTGTTTCTTTAATTAAAAAAATCTATGTAGAATATTTTGTAAAGAATTCCCTTGTTTGTCTATAACTTACTTATAGAAATGGGGACTCACTATTTCTCTTTGCGATGTTTGGTGTTCTTTACCAGCAACTTTGGGGCACTTCACAGTTTATGTATAGATAATAGATCTAGAAAATAGTTCTTCAGGGGCAATTAAATAGACAGTAGTGATATCAAAGTTGAAAGCAGAAAAGTTCCTGCATATATACTATGAACCACCAATACAAAAGGAAATTGAATAACATCATCCCTGTAAAGCGTGCAGCCAAGTGTGGGCCAGGGGGAGATGGGAGGTTAATGTGCTCCATCGTCCTTTCCTTGCTTGGTCCTCCTTGTTTTTCTGTGCCACTGCGGTGGCTAGCGTGTAGTAGGTGTACAGACATGTTTTCGTAAACCTACTGAAATAGATCATTTATCTGAACGCCAAAAGTAAAGGTTTACAAATGACAGGAGAGCGACCCGCAGGAGGAGAACCCAGCTTCCCGAATTTCTGTGACCAGTGACAATACACCCCTGTGAAGCAATCCTGGGACTTTCTAACATGGGGGCTGGTGGTATTATCTTACAAAATGCAGCTCATCGGAGAAGCCCCAGAAATTTAAAAAGACCTAAAGTTCAAAATCTTTCCTTGAGCTGTTAAAAAAAAAAAAAAAGCCGAAGTATTCCGGTTTGGAGCTAGCCACCGGAATGTTGCAGGTGAGACGCCAAGGGGTTGCTCCCCGCCCTCACGAGGTGGCGATGAGCAGGGCAGAGGGGACAGTGAGCAGCGAGCAGCAGGCACAGATGAATCTCTGTGACCGTAAGCATGGCATTTGTTCAAGTCAAATGATGAGCATGTGTGACATTAGCACCGTATTCTGTCTCCTTTTGTTTCATTTTCTGTAACAAAAATAAAAACCTGTGAGATCAGCCTTCCTGAAATCTTACTTTAAAACATTTTATTGAGTGGTTAGTGCCTAGCCCATAGCCATTTTCGGGGAAATGTCAGATTTCTTTTCTGGCAACTGAGTGCCCTGAAGAGACTCCTACTTTTATTTTCGAGTGAGGTTGGGTGGTGGCACACAGGTGCCATCAAGGGTGCCGGGTGCCGCAGAGCCATCAGCTCACGAGGAGCGGTTGTTTCTCTTAACGTTAATAACGTTTTCCCGTTTGGAGTTATTGGAAGGATCTGGCTGGGGTGGGAGGTTGCAAAGAGGGAGGATTATTGTTTAAACGGGACCTGGTTTGTAGCCTTAAGTCAGAAGAGAGCCATTCTGTTTGCGTTCAACATTTCAAAGAAAAGTAACAATGCTCTCGGAGAGCCCCTCTCTACAAGGCAGCTCATTATTGTAAATGTGGGACATGTTTAGACTGCTAAGGAGAATCATAAAAGTACAGCCGCCACCACAAGCTCCTCCAGCAGCAAACACTGTCCTCAGGCCAGATCCATTTCTGGGCAGCTCAGGAGCCTGCAGCCTGAGTGGCAAGCTCACCCGATGAGACCCAAACGGAGCAAGTGGAGTTACAGAGTCTAAGTGTGCGCGGGGCACATTATCGGCAAGGTCTTTTATGTTAAGGAAATCATGACACCTGCCAATCTTTCAAATTCCAAAGGGTAAAGCATGAGGCCCGGAAGGCTGTCATTGAACATGACAGGCTTAATGCCAAGTTTATAACAGAGAAAGGGCAATCTTATTGTGGTTTATTCAGTTTTCTGTTGCTGCTTCAGGAGGAAGTCTCGCCGTCTCTCTTCCGCACTCTCTCTCTTTGTAAAAGCTAATTTAGAGCATTTGAAATACCAAACGGATTCTTTACATATCTCCTGAGCCCCACTCCTCTTCACTACCCCCGGTCTCTCCTTTAGGGAGCAACCCCTAAATCCTTCCAATTTAGCATCATGGTGAGACCAGCCTGTTTTCAGTTGAGCGTCTCCTGCCATTGTGACAGAGATGTTTCTACCAGCGAACGTTTCTGTTTAATTACTGCGCACACTGTTGCTCCATTTCCGTCCAACCTGCCCCTCGCCTGAGCCCATTGGGCTGAAGAAAGAATTACTCCCCGCGCTGTTCCTTAGCCTTTCTTCTTCAGATCTGTAATTGGCCCTGTGTTTTTGACTTTTTGCTAATAAGCAGCTTACTTTCTCTCCCCCTAGACTCAACCCACCACTTTTGTTTCATGAATTTTACAAAGGATTTTAATAGATGCTTTAGGCTATGCAAAATGTTATATGAAGGGAAGGCATTAATGCAACAGCCTTGACACAAAGGACGTGTGGATCGCTGCTTATCATTATGGTCAGGTCTCAAAATTTTCATTAGTTCTGGAGGACAAAAGAAAAAAAAAAACCAGCCCTGCTGTATGAAGGAATATTAACCTGTATTGTGTAACCAACTATAATTGCTTAGCATTTTACATTAACTCTCTTCAGACATGGCCTCTCATTATCTTTACACATACATAATAACTGCTTATTACAGCGGGATACTTCATGCCGATACATGGTGGGTAGGGCTGTGTCAGCACTTCTAACGGGAGACCCACGTCCATGGATTTAAAAGAGCTGTAAAATTTACCTCCAGACTAAAGACTGGTAATCAACTTTTCACCTGGAGAGGGAATTTTTTGTTTCAAGTAAAATAAAACAACAACAACAACAAAAAAAAAAAAAAACACTTTTGTTGAGGGAAAAGAGTTGGGTTCGTTTAAATTAGGAATGTAAACAAAAACGGATGAATGTGCTTAAGTCACTAGTGAGTTCCTGAAGCAGAGAATTATTGAAACCTACTATGAAATATGTTTTTGATGATTAAATATAAATAGACGAATGTTAAGTAGCATTGGAATTAAATGCTACGTGTATAATGGGCTTTATGGAAATGACCACATGCTCCAGGAAGGCCTTTGTATGCAGTGGTAGAAGAACACAACACATATTTTCAAGATGTAGAACCCATAATTTTCATTGGGAAATAAATTAAAATGCTTATAAATGTTGAATGTTCGAGTTTGTGAAAAGTCATCCAACTATATAAAAACATCTGGGCTTTTTAGAATTATTTCAAAATTCTCTTTTCGGAAAGTCTGAGCAACTGTTGTTGACTCAGGAAAGGGTAAGAATTCGGCAGCACTGATATCACCAACTGCTTGAATGGGGACTTTGAAAAATAGTTGGTCAGGTTGACATATTTTTTTTTTAAATGAGCCTGCTGCAAAGGCTTGGGTTTCTGGTAGAAGTATCCCCAGGATGAAATTTATTATTTCCACTGGCTTTATAAAATATCCCAAAGTTTTCTCAGTAATCAAGATCTAAGACTATTTTTAAAATCATGCTGAAATGATAGGCATGAGATATGTAGATACATTTACACTTTGTCCCATAGCATCCTCAGTTTGTCTGTCCTCAGATAGAATACATTTGTCTGTATTGGACAAGGCAGCTACAATAATAGAATGTCGTGTCTTAAAGCTACCAGACAATGTCACCCCACGGACGAATGAGAACTTGCATGGACATTCTCTGTTGGGTTGAAAGAAATCTCAGAAAAAAATATTTTGAAAATGATTCCAAACCAGGTGGTTCTATAACAGAAATTAGAGCTATTATCTTTAAGTTCATTGTGTTTATGAACAATTCATCCAACATGAGTGGCAGAAGCAGAGTTTGTGTCCTTAATGTCCATTAACCATCTAATCATGTCATCTGCTTCTCTCTTTACTTCGAAAGCCAACACCAATCTTAGCTCCATTTCTTAGACTGGAAACATTACCCAAGAAACATGCCAAGAAAATTTTTTAAAAGATACTCATTTAAAAGTGCTAGGCCACTTGGACTATCACGAGATTTTCCTACTGTGTCTAGAAGTGACAGCTTACAGAAGTGGGAACATGGACTGAAAGTGACTCTTGGCACAAATGCATTAATGTGTCTTGGTGGTAGTGCGTAAGAAGTATCAGCCTTGTCCCTAAACTGATGGAGTGAAGGGTTCCTGGCTGACAATGACTGTCCTGTGATGGAAAAAGCTACCACTTGTTAGTGTAGTTCCAGTAAACAGCACGCTGGCCTCACATGCTAATTAGCTGTGGCCCAGCTCGCCTGGGCTGTGCAGAGGCACTCTCATCAGAGATGATTGTCATCAGGTATCACAGATGCCTCTCCTGTGGCTCAGCCCAGGCGGGTGCCTGGTGGGGCTTAGAGAAGAAGAGGCAGGAAGCTGTGCAGAGAGAGCCCCGGGTCTCCGGTGCCTCAGCTGCTGGCTGCAAGCAGCTCATCATTTCTGCCTGCAGAAAGAAAGAAACAGGGTGAGGCAAGAGGGGTATCCTACCTGTCGAGCATTCCAGGAGGCAGTGATGCAATCAGCTTGAAGGGAGAGGCTTCAGAGCAAAAACCCTGCAACTAAAGCTACTTGGGGGCTTTCTCCCGCCCCCCCAACCTGGGATTCTTGGAGATGACAAATGCTAATTCTTTCAATTCGTTACATATTTTTGAATGGATGTCTGAGTGGGATAAAGGAACAGGCCTAAAGATTTACAAGCTGCAATCAAGGATGTGGTGAAGAAAATAACGCCTCGTGCCAAGAGGTGTGACTGGAGCCCTAAAGTGAGAACCCATAATCCTGTAATCTTCACCCCCTCCCTGGCAGCCCCACCCTCCCACTTCACCCGGACAACTTCAGGTCTTCCTCCTGACTCCCCGCCCCACCCCACCTCACCCTTCCAGCACCCTGCCTTCAGTAACTGAAATCCCCTCCCTGGGGTTACTAGAAATTCCCTGCTCTAAGGAACTTGACTTCTCTCAGGAAAAAAAAAGAAAATCCCAGCTCCAACTCTGCTAGACTGCCCACCTCCACATGGCCACGCTCTCTCTGCTTTCCCAATTGCTCTGTCTTGTGGTCTTGGGCTCTGCTTCAGTCCTACATCACGAGTTTTCAGGAGCACTGAAGCCTCAAGAGGCTTCCTTGTCAATCTCGTCAAGTCCTTGGCTGTTGCCTCCTCCACAACCCCACCCACACCATGGCTCCATCCACCAAGCCCACCTTGAGAGGTCCAGATCTTCCCCAGAGCTCACTCTTAAGCTCCATATTTATTCAACATGCTCATAAAAAACATTCCACGAGCAAGAGCTACGTAACTTTCTCCAAACTACGAACCCACCCGCCCATGCCTCAGCCTCTTACCTGAGACGCTTCCTCTCATCACAACGCCCGGTGTACTTGCCACCCAGTGATTTCACTCTCCACTTTGCTCATCCACGTCAGAAACAAGAACCTACCCTTCTCAAACCATGTCTCTGGCTTTGTCTCTTCCACTCCATCTCTCCACCTCGGCCTTCCTGAAGGTTTTTGTCTCTCCTTACTAAGCTAATTCTTGTCTCAGACTCATCCTTCATATTATAATCAGCTGGATCTCTCTACAACCCCAAGACAATGTGTTATTCCTCTTTTCAGATCTTGCAGAGAAGCGAGGCACGGTGTCCGTGTCTGTAATGCTAGCTTGGCAGAGGCTGAGGCAGGAGAAGGCTTTCCTGAACTCCATAAGTGATTCCCAGGCCAGATCAGATTACACACAGTGAGAACTTGTCCCAAACAAAACCAAGCAAAACATTTGACCAGATCCTAGGGAAGGCCGAGCACGCACAGCTCTCTACAGTGGGTGCCAGCCTCCTTCCCTGGACCTGCCTGAGCCCCCTCCCCACACTGTACCTCTTGTCCAGCTTCCCCACCTCACCACCCACCCCCACTCTGATCACTCATAAGTATTTACACAGACATAGAATATTCTTCCTTGTTTTTCCAGGCTCAGATCAAACCGCTTTTCTAGGACCACATTCCTGATACTTCGAACAGAAGAAGAAAATGCTACTTCCTGTGTGCTCCCAGAATCACATTTAAAAATATTTTTTTATGTTCGTGTGTCTTGCCTGAAGGTATGTCTGTGCACCATGTGCATGCCAGGTGCTTGCAGGGTCTAGAAGAAGGTGTCAGATCCCCTGGAACTGGAGTTTTAGGTGGTTATGAGCCATTATGTAGATGCTGAGAGCTGTACCCTGGTCCTCTGGAAGAGCAGCCAGTACTCTTTAATGGCTGAACCTTGTGTCCAGCTCCCATTCCAGCATCATATTTTTTATGTTTCTGTCATAGCTCTAATTATATATTATGAATGTGGACCTATCTATCCACTGCACTTGACTCTCAAGAAGGCCAAGGAATGCTTTACCTTTGCAACTTCTTATTTGGCTGAGGGCTTGGCACCCAGTAGACCCTGATCACCCAAATTAATAAGCAAATGCAAGGATGAGTGAATGGGTATAAATCTTATAGCTTCCTATGTCTTGCAGATGGAGGAAGAAACGAGGCTCAGGGGCCAGGATAGGAGTCCAAGAATCGCTGTTGTGTATCAGTCACACTGCCTGCACTGTTGACAGGCATGGTCTCGGGGCTTTTCTACTTTGCAATTTAGGCCAAAGTAGACTTGGAAAAGAGTGTGAAGAGCATCCCCACTACTTTATGGTTAAAACCAAATGGAGGTTTTCACCAAAACTTGACTAGCCTGTTACCTTGGCTAATTATGGTGCCAACTGTGCTGAGGTTTCTGCTTCTTCTTGCTCCTCAGCCTTTGGGCTGCCATGAATTCCTTACCTATGACTGGCCACCTTGTAACATGCAGGTCCCCATTCATGAGTGAGGCACAGGAAAGAGTTGAGCTTGAGATGGCATTTAGAATGCTGGCCAGAAAACTTGGTTTGCAAATAAACATTTTCACAACCCACTTATTTGTGAGATGTGATGCCTTCCACCAGATGAGTTGAGTAACTGCACCTGGGGTCATTGTGGTACTGGGTAGGCAGCCTCAGCAACACACAATAAAGAATGTGTATTGGAGCCAGTGAGGATGTGGGAGACTTGGTTGAATTAAAACTTCTGAATGCTTGTAAATAATATTGAAGGCTGTTTTCCAGCATTTAATTAGGTGAAATATAAGGGTCTTTTTATTTTAAAAACATTTTGGGGTTTTTTTGGGTTTCTTTTTTTTTTTTTTGGAATAAGGAGGAAGTACAGGGGAAAATCCATGTCTCCAGCTTTGGCACTGAAAACATAGAGGTCTTGTAGGTCCCCCCACCACCAGGGTGTTTATGAAATTTTTCAGGCTCCTATTTAAACTTTACTTTGTCAATTCTCTGAAGTTACAAGGCATACAAAATGATCTAGCAAGGCGATAGATACTGACTCATTTTAACTGGGCTCATCAAAACAATGATCTTAAAGCCCTACATTCTTACAGCCACAATGACTGATGGCCAAGGTAGACCACTAAAGGCTGTTTTTAATGTATTTATTTTAAAGACTCTTGATTTGAGTGTGGGTTCATAAGTTTAATGAAAGTATAATCTGTTATTTTTACGAGGGAGCCTTTTTTTTTTTTAAAGAAAACCCCATGGTATGTGTTAGAAGAACAAACACAAGACTAAGAATAGGCAAAACTCAGTGGGAGAATGCTTGACCTGTACACACAAGGAGGCCCTGGGTTTAATGCCCAGGAGTGGGGGCAGGAGGGGAGGATAATAATCTAAGTTATCAAGTGTTCATCCAATTTATACATTACAGAGTGTACCATTTATGATCACAATGTCACTTACTAACCTTGTAATTCAGAAAGTACTTTCTCACGGGTACATAGATAGACAGATTATATACAGATACATACATTAGATATAAGCATATATTCATATGGTCACATTTGGACCATAGATCAGACATATAAGGTTGACAGATAAGGATGACAGATAAGTATTATTTCAACCCAGAGAAAAGATAACTCAAATTCAGCAAGAGGCGATGAATTGCCTGTGAGTTAAGTAAGTTCCCTGAAGCCACAAAACACTAGACACACGTGCGGCCTGTGTGAGCTGAAAGCTGTGTTCAGAGTGGAGTCTGGATCCTGTAACAGGTCTGACTGTACAAATTTAAGATCATATCCAAGCTGCATTTCTGGTCCCAAAGCCTGATTTAATAAAAGCAAATCAGCCTTGGCTATTAGCTAAGTAAAGGAAAGTGTTAATTAAGCTCAGCTCCCTGGCCAGGCATACAAGCCTGTAAATCGCCAACATACCTGAGGAATGTGGGCAGGCGACTGCAAATTTGTGTACAAGGGTGGAGTTGCATTCATTTGTTTGCCTGGTGTTCAGCCTGGGGACTGCAAGATGGTAAAGCTTTAATGTTAAAAGGAGCAGAGGGGGAAAAACAAAAAGGAGAAAGAAAAGACATGAATAAAAACTGAAAGAAGGCATACAGGGAGAGTCTAAATTCTGTTCACTAATTGGCTGCCACACTCTGAAGGTGAGTGTTAACTGCGACAGGGTTTGGAGAGTTGCCAAATTATTCTCCAGGTCTTGACTATTACATGACTGCCTCTCTCTCTCTCTCTCTTTCTGTGTGTGTGTATGTGTGTGTGTGTGTGTATGTGTCTGTCTGTCCACAGTGTTCATAGATGAAAAAAGATTGTTTAGTCTGAACACACATTCTGCAATGTATATGTGTCCCCATACACATGCAAACACACTCAAACTGGTCTTTGCATTTAACACAGAAGATTAAACCAAAACTACGATTAAAGAGGACAGTAAAAATACTATCAAGGAGGAGAGTCCTACAACGTTAAATAATTGGGATAATGAAAGCTCAAATATACAGAGTCTTGATAAGCTTGGAAAGTGTAGGGAGGTGATGCTGTTGTTGAAATCTGATTCGAAACATTCACTGAAATATGGATGCTACTCAAAGTGAAGGACTTTGTAAAAAAAATCAGGACAAGAAACAAAAGAGCCCAACTTCTAAAGATGCTGGCCACATCATGATCTGCTTCCAGCAGAAAAAATCCACCTTAAGAAAGGTCCAGAGAGCGCAGGAGAAAGCACATCCAGTAGGAGGAAGTTGGGAGTGTGGGTGTCAGGCTGTCAGCAGTCTGACAGCTATGGTAACTACCCTCTAATCCAGCCAGCTCCAGCCACGCTCTCGGCTGACACCCCCAGGACTGACTGACAGCTGAGAAGCAGGCACTTTTTACAGGCTCAAGTGACATCCAGTCTATTAAGGCTGACAAGCACAAAGCAGAGATTTGCCCTGGATGGTTCGGTACTGAAGCCTAGTAAAGGGGTTATTCGAAAGGTCTTAGATAAAGTGTCAGACTCCAGCTCAGATGATAACAATATTGTAATGATGGTACTGGACAATGAAGGGTGATGATCGCCCCTCCAGGCCGGGAAGACTGGAGGCTGTGGAGAAGGGCAACAAGAAGAAGCGTGCCCAGGGTGATTCTGCGAGGCCAGTGTGCAAGCAAGCATTCAAGGAATTTCCTTGAATGCTTGCTTGCGGGATGGTCCTCTGGGCTCTGGGGTGTTGCCTACAGTTGCCTATTAACCGTGTCATTTGCATAGGGGTTGGTAGGGCAGATACCAGGGGTAGAACACTGGGTATTAGCTAGGTACCCCTAAAGGAATGTTCACCTTTCTTTGCTTTACACTTCAGCTCATTAAGGGGCACTGCAAATATTTGGCCACCAGGAAATAAAGGTTTTCAGGCTAGGCGAGGGAGTGACGGCATTGATAGGGCCGATGCAGCCATCACCCCACTCCTGACCACATCAGCGTCCCCCAAACACCCAGACTTATTAAGCAAGTTTTTTTTCCCCTAACAAGAGCAAAATAATTTTTGCAAAGTGTCTTTTTATGTCTTTCCGTAAGCTAGGAAAAGGACAATTACCACAGTCCTGTTGGAGACTGTCTCCTGGTGTCGTCATATCCCACCATTCGGGTTCAGACTGTCCTGAAGTGTGCTTAGTTTATGCCTGTTTATTCACCTATTCCAGACAGGAGCTTAGGTAAGCCTTGGGAATATAGTGGTGACCAAGTGCCTATCCACACTGTGACTCGAATCCAGGGCCTGAGGCTGACGTTTTGCTACCAATAGGCCAGCTATTGATTCACTGACTTGCTTCTGCTATGGGCAGAGAATGCCACACGGATCCCCTTCTCCCTCCCCCGCTCCTCGGGCCTCTCTCTGCTGTCTATGACTCTAAACTCCCCACAATTCAGCGACAGAAAGCGTGAGCCCCAGGCCCAGCAGCTTCCCCTCTCACTGTGTTCCCGTCTGTTCTGGATGGCCACTGTGACTTGTGTGTCTGCCTCACCTAGTAGGACTCATAGCTTTAAATTTATTTTTAAAAAATGTCAACTCTCCTTCAACTTCACTCTTCTAGAAACCCCCTTCAAATAGAAACCTTCTAGAGGTTTCCCCATATAGAGCTTTCTTCGCGCCCTACACACAAAAGGGACTAAAGTCTGAGTGTACATAGGTAATCATATTCCTTGAAATTTTAGAACAAGATAAAAGCCAAGAATTGGTACCAATTAATTAAATTTTGCTCTTGGAAATTTGGTGTCTTTTCATATTTCTGCCAGTGAAAATGGCTTTAGATTATCCATAGAGACAAAAAAGATTAAATTCACTATACCTTTCAAATATTAGGAAAAAATAATGATTATTAATTTTATAACATTGGAATAACAGATTCAAAACTGTAGCACCTCAAGGATACTATAGTGAAAAACAAAAGCAAAACTCCAGCAGTGCTGAGCATCCAAAAGTAATGGTACCCACCATCAAAAGGGAAACAGAGAAATGTGTTCCTATGTTGAGAAAAACAACAACCACACCAATGGAAACACCTGTCAGCTATTCCACAGAGATCAAAGGTAGATCTTTGAATGCCTAAAGGCACTATGCCAAACCAAAAATAAAAATAAATTTTTTATTTTTATAAGATGTATATAGAGTGAAGCAAGGGTAAGAAGAATATGAGAAGTATACAGGGAAGTTTTTTTTTTTTTTAATTAATATACTAGGGCTGAAGAGATGGCTTAATAGTTAAGAGCACTTGTTGCTTTTTCAGAGAACCAGGGTTCTATTCCCAGCACTCAGAAGACAGCTCAAAGCCATCTGTAACTCCAGTCCCAGGGGATCTGACTCCCTCTTCTGGCCTCATCCAGCACTGCACACACCTGGCTCACAGACACACATGCAGGCAAAATACTCATACACATAAAAGAAAAATAAATCCTTGAAGACGGGTACTAAATTTCTTAAAAAAGCACAAAGCATTAAGAAATGGAAAGAGGAGGTTCCCCAGCATAGGCACAGGAGACAAAACCTTGTTGATGTTAAAAATGATCAAGAGTTATAAACATTCACTTTCAAGAGGCCTTAGCATGAGGTCAAGAAGAGTCAAAACAACCAAACTCTGGAGAAACATCAGATATGAAAAACATCTTATTCATGATTTCATGAGCAGAGAAACAGAGCATCGTGAGCCACTGAGTGACAGAGGTGAGGAATTTTATTTGGATAGTGCAGATGAAGAACAGCTCTGTGAAGGCAATTTGCTTGAGAGTCAAAGCAAATGACTTTCACCTTCAACTTTCTTTAAAGGAAAAATAAAATGATGAGGAACAGGAAGGAAAGAAAATAAAGAGGAGGAAGAGATGAGGAAAGAGAAGAAGAAATAGGTTCTATAAAATAGGAACAAAACTCAAAAGGAAGATGATGAGGTAAGAATGGACATGATGAAAGTGAAAATATCAGAACCAAAATTAAAATTCCTCACAGCACTGAAATAAAACAGGCTACAGAGCATTAAACCACTGGCTGGTGTAAGAGACAAACCCAGAAGAACCCAAACCTCTCCCTTCCAGTGGGACATTGATCATCTTTTGT